TCTATCCACGTCATGACTTACTATCTGGGAAATCATAATTGATATTTAATCTATGTATTGATCCTGTGATTTTCTTCATGCAGGCATGAATTGATTCAATCTCAATGGATTCAACAAGCGCTTTGATAATTTCTGGGACTTTTAGGATCCTCGTGAATTCATGCATCCCAGAAATGGAAGTTGATAATACTATACTCTTGTTGGCTCGTCCGTTGCATGCCTGGTTTATATGAGATGTCCGTCCTTTTCTTCCCTGCCCGTGACTCCAAAGTTTATAAGGACACCATCTGCCTCCCTCACTATTGCAGGAGGGGAAGGATATGAAATTACATATTGTTGATTGGAAAGAAGAAAGGGGATGGGATATTATTGGTTTACCTTTTCAATACCTTGTCGTCGAATGGAACTTCAAATGAAAAGGTATGAATGAGGAAGGTCTACTCATTTAAACTCTTGTTTCTTTGATCATGGTGCAGTTATAATAGGCTTTGAGTCAATGAACTGATTCCCATCGATTACCTTTCCTTTCTCTGCAGATGCGTTACAGATTCTTGGGTCAATCTGTTCCTAGGCATCACGAAATTTGAATTTTCTATCTGCGAACTTTAAGGCCCCAATCCTATGACTGAAGCAAGTAAGCTCCTGCTAAGCTCAACCTGCGCCACCAATAGAGCCAATGTCAAATATCTTCGAACATTGTGCTTTTCAGAGTCGTCGCCACACCTGCCGGGATACAGTAAGGTGCTTCTACCTTAGAACTAGCAGTATGGCTAGGCTATGTTTATAAGTTATTTGAACAAATTTGTAACTTATGGTAGAAAACATGTTCACATCAATTTTTTTAAGCTTTGCCAAACATGCACAGTTTCTAAACGTCTGTAAAATTCTTTACTTCAGTCAAATTAATGAAGTAAACCTCCATTTGAACAATCATTCACTTTCCTAATAATCTATTTCTACACGAAAAGAATAGACTTGAACGAGTCAAATTGGCAACGTTTGGTTTGTCTAGTGAACTATGCAATACTGAGCGTCAATAAAGAGAGAAGGAAACTATGGTTGTATTTTACCATGCTATCCAATCAACGAATTTGATAAAATAATCTTTCATTTTGTTTTGAAGATGAAAAAATAGAAACACAAAAAAAAATCACTAGGGATAATGAGTCAACCGGCGGTAGGTTGTGGTATGGGGGTGCAGGGTTGGTGGTGGCTGGCGAGGTGGTGGTTGAGTTGGAGAGTGGGGGTGATTGGGGAAGAAAACATTTTTTTTAATGAAATTTATTTTTCTTTTTTATATTATTTTTTAAAATAAAATTATAACGGTTAAGTGAACTTGCGTGTTTACACTTCTAAATTCTATCATGTTCAAACAACATGCTTTTTTAATGAAAGAAATGGACGGAATCAGACAAGGTGGACGATTTGTGCAAGTAAAGGTTGATCAGAGGGTGAAAATATCAAAATTGAAAAGATATGAATAATTTGCGAAAGGGTGACAAAAAAAGGGAGGACGCTTCATGTCAATTATCCATTTTTAAAGCTATTGTGGTTGGTCCAATTCATGACCTTATTTGTAAAATACAATTTCAAAATTAAGAAATTAGTTTTATTATTTCAAAAATCAGGATCTTATTAAATAATTAATTAAAAAACATTTGTGAATTAAATATATTAGGGTCACAAATTATACAGTTTATAATCATGGTTACGTACTAATCACAATTACAAACGTCACAATAAAAAATCATAAATTTTATAGATCACCAATTATCAAATTAATTAGTCACGTATTAATTCTCGATTACAATTTTAAATGTTATAGTTTCTTTAACAATCACAATTTATAAAATTAATAAATCACATATTATTCCTCCATCACAAATCACAAATTTTATAAGTTACAATTTATTTATCGGTTACAAATGATCAAACTAATAGGTCATATGTTAGATTCGATCATAAATCACAAATTTTATAAGTCACAACTTATTTCACGATCACATATTATCAAATTAATTGGTCACACATTATTTTTCTATCACAAGTTATTAAATTAATTGGTCACAAGACTCACAATTTAAGAATCACAATTACAAATTTAGTCGGAATCTCACATATTTTAGATTACGTATTATTTATTGGTCATAAATTATCTATTTCATTAATCACAATAAATCAAATAATTGGTCATATACACTTTTTCCCACCCTACCACTGTCACGACCACCACCAACTGCAAACACAACCAACAAAATCTACCCAAAAATTAACCAGCATCACCAACACCACAACCAACAAAAACCACTCCAAAAACTTTGGCACCAGATTGCGACCAAATTTTCTCAAATCCCTAGTCATTAGCGGCTCGCAACAGCATCGCCTAGATGCTGCTGCTGCAGCGCTGCTCACGCCGCGCGCAGCAATGACATCATCGTCGTAGCAGTAGTGATCACTGCTGTAAATGTCGCTGTGATGGTCTTCGATGAAATTTTTCGGTAGTTGCGATAAAGAGATGGAAAAGAGAAGGAAGAGGTTAGAGAGAGAGAGAGAAGAGACAAGGTAAGGATAGGGGGAGAAAAGAATTGGAGAATGATTAGGGTTTTAGGCGGGTGGTTGGCTTGGATGGTTGTCTATGTATATTAATTTGATTTTATAATATTATTATTAAAATTAAAATTTTGAATTATCATCTATTTTTTGAATAAAAACTTATGAATCTTATTTTTGTATTGTGAAGTTGAAAAACTTGGGTAGATATAATTTCCACTTATTGAAATATATCGCTATTTAAAAATAAATACTATCCACTATTTAAGAATTATTGAGTTTTACGGTTTATTAACATTTAATTTATCTTACATATTTTATTACTTCTCTATATTAAGTCCACAAATCAAGGAGAAAAAAAGGAAATTTCTACAAATTAAGGGACCAAAACTGTAAGCTTCATCATTCATGTTAAGAAATATAGTCAAATTTACGGGACCTAGTCGGTAAACATCCTCCTCTCTTCTAAGATAATATTTCTTCTAAGAAATATTTTCACAACTATCAAAATTGTATCTTTATCATCTACACTATTGTTATCCTAAAAAATTATATGGCATGAGCATAGCGGAGGGGGCCCACATTGGCAGACTCGACATTGATTGATTGATTATGTTAATGGAATTGGATCGACCAAACCAAGTAATGATCTTGAGTTCGTGGCCCTTTGCGAACTGACGCCACCATGAGCGAACCTTTCTAATGTGAAGTCTTACCCACAACCTCAAGCTTGAACAATGAAGCGCGTGAACTACTGAATAAAACGTGAGTTATTAACATATTAAGTTATCCGCACTATTAAGTGATCGCCATGAAGAGTGTTTGCGACCAATTAGTTGGATAATTGTGACTAATAAAGGGTTAATTTGTGACCAATAAATAATATGTTATCGATAAAATAGACAATTTGTGACCAATAAATATTATATGACCTAAAAAATGTGAGATTGCGATTAAATTTGTAATTGTGACTCATATTTTGTTAAGTTGTGATCAATTAATTTGATAATTTGTAATCGTGAAGTAAGTTGTAACATATAAAATTTGTGATTTGTGATCGATAAATTAACTGACCTATAAAATTTGTAATTTGTGAGCGTGACTAGTACTGACCATAAACTGTATAATATTGTGATATTAATATATTTTTAATTATTTAGTTGATTAACTAAATTTGAATTATGACCTAATTTTTAAAACTTTTAATTAAGTTTCTAAATTTTGAAATTGTATCTTATAACTACCTTAAATATGTATTGTTCCCTTATCAAACACCTTTATTTTGAATTATCTGATGGAGACTTGCTTAGTTTTTGATTTTGATCAGTTTATTTCTTTTATAATTCTAAAGTTTTCAAGCAGGTCACAACCGTATGACTCGTTACAACTCAACATTCCTTCAATCGGGAACTTTTCCTTAAACTAGAAAGAGATAGAAGGACCAATTTTCTTGTAATGAATCTATTCTATTAAATTTTTCAGGATAAAATTTCATTGAAAATGGGAGGAAGCGCTCCACATCCAATATTCTGGTTTTCATTTCTTCCTATGCTAAGGAAGGTATAGTACCTTCTCAGTGTGGCTTTGTAACTCTAGTCTAGAGATAAGATTTCAACATCTCCCTCGTCGATGTACTTCGATTTCATAAACCAGTTTTGTGATGTATAATTTTAAGTTCTGCAATTACATTACATGGTTTTGCATAATTGAACCAAAACACAAATAGCGTGCTGGATAAGAACAAACATTAATGAAAATATAAAGAAATTAAAAATTTCACAAGCGTTTATCAAAATCTATTAAAAACTTAATTTTTATCTAAACCAAATAGAGGCTATATCGGATTGTCTCAAACTCGAAGGAAACTTTTGGATGGAATATTTACACGTAGAATATCCTCACACTCAATTTACGTACAAGTCTATTATCTTTAAATCTTATGCAGATCATTATGGCTTGTTAAGTACATTTAATTCAACAAGAAAAGACACAACAATTGATAAATTATATCACATGTCTATCATCATAAATCTTGCCTAATTTTATGGAGTCTAACTTATCAAACCAACTCTCAGTTTTGTGTGCATGCACCAGACCTTTTGTTTAATTAAGAAAGAAATTCTTAACTAACTTTTTCAATGTTCAAGTCCTAGAGTTCTACAACAGTCAATGACTCACATGGAACCTCCAATCTGTCAAAAAGTAAAACAATTATCAATACTAAAAGGAAAAAAAAAGTACAAATTCATGTTCAGTATAAATAATTCAAATTGCATTTGGCTTCAAAATAGTATATTACACAATATTTAACCTTGAAATTAAGCTAACACTTGCTAATTCATACGGGATTCCACGTAACTCGTCCTATAGGCCGAGTCGGAATATAACCAACTAGTGAGGTTCGAACCCACAACTTCTACCTTGAAAGGATGGTGAATGCAAAAAAACCTTCATAAGGACTTACCAGCAGAAGCACTTGTGGATTCAAGAACCCAAGTTTTAGGGCTGCTAGCCCCACTCTCCCCATCTCTAGGACATGCTGTAGGGCTTTCTTTATTATTAATAAGTACTGAGGAAATGGCGGCGGCAACAGCAACCCTAAACTTAGGATCAGAAGCAATTGCACTCATATTTTCCTCCAAATGTTTATTAATATCACTCTTCCCTTCACCTTTAGGTCCCTTCCCATCTCCTAGTTTAGGACCAGGAAAAATCTGGTTGGTTCCACAATAATTGCCTGCTTTAGGCAGCCAAGAATATCCTGACTGTCCCATTGGTTGTCCTGTACAGTACTGCGAAGGGCTAGTCCAGAGAAATTGTCGGTCACGAGCATTGTTTTTGAGATCAAGAACAATACCTTTAGAAGGGTCATTAGGGTTCATGTTTCTTAGGTATGGGATGTATGGAGAAGATGGGATATTGATCATATTATAAGGATTAGGATAAGGGAAATGTGGCTGGTTTGAGTTTGACATTCCATCTAAAAATGGGTTGCCCGAATCGAGTAATGCAAAGGATGCTGATGCGGTTGATGCCATCGCTGTCGCAACCACTGGTAGTGGATGATTGTGTGTTCCTTCATACGTTGTGATGAGTATTGACATGTCCTCCAAACATCTTTGGACCTAATTTTTCATGTCAATAGTGTTACTCAACATATAAAAGGTTAATTGTATTCGAAATATGTCGATGATAAAATATAAACAAAAAAAGTGACGATGTTAAAATTTTCAAGGGGAAATTAAACTTTTCCTGACCTGCTTTCTTACAGGGCATCCAGGAGCGACGGTGCAACGATAATATGCTCTTGGGCAAGGATTTCCTTTAGCAGTCTTCTGACCATACTTTCTCCATTGACATCCATCATTCATCTAAAATTTTTTCATTCAATAAGTCTTTCTTCTTGTAGAACTCAATAAAACAAGCCCACAATCACACACTACATCAAACTGAAAACTCTAATTCTTATTTTCGAGAGCAATAATACCAGTGAAATTGAAAACAAGCAAAGTAAACATACAGATTTATATTGGTTCAACCTCAAACTGAGGATCGTAATGCTAACAATCTATACACAGACATATATATGGAGGGAGAGTAAGAGAAACTCACTGTGGCCGTTTCACATCTGGCTCTGACTGAAACCCTAGATCTTCTACTGGATGGAGATGTAACATGGCTTGTAATTCCAGGCAAGTTGCTGCTCCCATGTAGATTACCTTCTATCTGTGTAATTAATCCCTCTCTATCTTCCCTTTTCTCCTTTCTCTCATATTCTCTCTCTACTTTTCTAGGACTGCTTTTCAGTGTCAACGACAACCCTAATTCAGTACTATCTCTCACATCATCTTCCTGTATTAATGGCGACAACTCCGTTTGATTCTTGATATCAAATATCTTTGAACTTCTACTTGGCTCTTGATGATCACTCAGCTCATCATTTCCATTAAGTGAAACTAGCATTTTGGTATCCTAAATCAAAAAAAAAAAAAAATGGAAATTCAAATACAAAAGCTGAATTATATCATAAGAGTGAAAATCCTAAAGGATGAGTACGTGTATAGTATGATTAGGCTCCACAAAATCGAGGGTTACCTTCTTTTGATTATTTTTTTGGATCGTAGCAACTTTGAGTGTTAGATCATAATAATTCTTCAAAGCTTGTTCTATCGAGCTCCTTAATATCTTATTCTCCT